CTCAGACAATAAAAACCACCAGGAAAGTCAATAGTTTTAACAAAAATAATTTTCAAGTTGAAAATCAATCTTCGTTTGTAATTAAACAGCGAACAATAACGCAAAGCCTCCTGAAATAAAACATCTGGAAAATATATTTTTCTTTCTAAAACACTGATTACTTTTTTAAATATTTTAATCAGTTCCGTAGAAAATGTACTTAAGTGGGAGAAAAGCAGTACTGGCGTAGTTGCCTACAGGATTCTACCAAACCACTCAGTTCTAAAAAATGGCTTAGTTACAGTACTTAATAACGTTTTTGGTACATTATATTGATTGTATTAACAAATATTAATGTAATAATTTAATTGTCCAAAAAAAGTAAACAATTTTTTTTTAATTTATTCTTTTATTTTTTAACTTTTTTTTTAAATTTAATTTTCATTACTCTATATAGAGGTCGTTTAGGAAAGCCTCTAATATATAATTATAATAATAAAACTTAATTCAAAAATACTTTGCTGAATATGTTGAATTTTCTATTTAACGTTTGCAATTTACCACTTTGTTTTGTATATTCACTGATTCTTAGAAGTAATTTAAATTGTATATACTTCCCCTGAAATGAGCCATATTAATAGCTGTTTTATAAACTAAAAAAATATATACCTAATCTGAACTACATTTAATGAATAGTTGATGGGTTGTTTAGTAAAACTCATATATCACTAATAAAAATATTAATTTTTATTTCCTTTATTTTGCTCGGAAGTTAGACCATATCATAAAAAAATAGGAAATTTTAATGTTGAATGCATTATTCTCTCTGCACAAAGAGAGATGGCAAATTGAACCCAAATATTGGAAAAAATACGTTAAGTGAACGAGAAAGGAAGTACCAAAATCTCGGACAAGAAAACAAGGATCAGTATCCATTATATGGCTAAACGCATATATAGTAGATAGATGTACAGAATATTTCAAGATGCTGCTAAAAGAGGTTCAAATGCTGGAGCATTTTGGATGATATTAAGGGGACCACACAGGTTTATAATGATAAAGACCATTTTATCATCAAGAAAGATTTGTTCATAGCAATTGGGAAGTCAGCAGGTCTGGACGAAGTGAACGAGGTTTATTATGGTGAAAACCGCTTTATTTTCGATTGCTACATAAGTTGCATATTGGGAATATCTTCGCTTTGAAGCAGGTTATAGAGAGATCTATCGGGAAAGGAAAAGAACACGCCTTCTGTTTAGTGCATTTGCAAAGAATTTTTTAATTAATCTGAAATGAAAATGAGCTTTTTTGAAAGACTAGCAGATATTAGCTCAATCCAAAGTGTGCAGTACTAAGCAGATAGAGAGCTATTTTTCAAATTTGCAGCTTCTGTTCCAATGCCCAGCTTGAGTTTCTCAATCCATATCGCTATGGCAATCAATAATATTTCTTATTCTAGCTTCTACGATTCTTGAGTAGTTTCCTTTGTACACTAAACAGAAATGAATCTCGATGGGTACTGTATTTCCTAGTATCTCCTTTCTTGTAAATGGACAGAACTACAGTCCTTTCATATCGTTTTCTAATACATTTGTTGCCTATGTATGCGCCAGCAGTTTGGTTTACTTCGCCCCGATCAGCTGACTTGCTTCGAACAAATCTTTCTTGCTGAAAAAATGGTCTTCACCATAATAAGCCTGCATCGTCCCCTTAGCATCACCCAAACTGCTGTAGTATTTGACCCTCTTTTAGCAGCATCTTGAAATTTTCTGATCATCTGTCTACTATATGTTCGTTTAGCCATATAATGGATACTGATCCTTTTTTCTTTTCAGAGATTTCAGTACTTCCTTTCTCGTTCACTTAATATATTTTTTCAATTTTTCGGTTCAATTTCCCTCATTTTGAGACCAAATACAAACAATCAATTCCGGTTACCTAGAAGAACTTATAGCTTCACTCTTTCCATCTTTGTGCATAGAAAATAATGCATTCAACATTAAAATTTCCAATTTTTTTATGATATGGTCCAACTTCTGAACAAAATAAAGGAAATAAAAATTAATTTTTTTATTAGAGATATATGAGTTTTATTAAACAACCCATCAACTATTCATTATTTGTAGTTCAGATTAGGTATATATTATTTTAGTTTATAAAACAGCTATTAATATGACTCATTTCTGGGGAAGTGTATACAATTCAAATTATTTCTAAGAATTGCAAACGTTAAATAAAAAATTCAACATATTCAGCAAAGTATTTTTGAATTAAGTTTTATTATTATAATTATATAATAGAGGCTTTTCTAAGCAACCTCTGTATATAATAATGAAAATTAAATTTTAAAAAATTAAAAAAATAAAATAATAAATTTTAAAAAAAATTGTTTACTTTTTTTGGACAATTAAATTATTACATTAATATTTGTTAATAAAATCGATATAATATACCAAAAACGTTATTATAGCACTATAACTAAGCCATTTATGAGTAGTGTGGTAGATGCAAGGGTGCCCACAGATGGTTGTATGGCATAGATTTTTTAAGGAACTGATTAAAATATTTTAAAAAGTCATCAATGTTTTAGAAAGAAAAATATATTTTCCAGATGTTTTATTTCAGGAAGTTTTGCGTTATTGTTCGCTGTTTAATTACAAACGACGATTGATTTTCAACTCGAATTTTTTTTTTTAAACAATTGACTTTACTGGTGTTTTTATTGCCTAAGGCAATTATTTTTTAAATATTTTTTTCATGTTTTATTATTTTCTGACAATCCAGCTTTAATAAAAGACCAACTATGACAAAATTAAGTCAAATGCTGATTCTTAGTGACCAAAAAACTAACTAAAGTCAAAGTCGTCAGTCCGCCATGTTTGGACGCGATTTCTGTGCCAGTGCGTACACTTTTATTTGTGGGAACATTGCCTTTTTTTTTTAATAAATAGTTACAAGGAACACAAAAATATGCACTTTATAGGGATGTGGAGGGAGAGAGGGAGGTGCATGGTAGGGGGGTCTGGCCCACTGTGTACTCCCTCTAGAAGTTTAAATCCGAAAACACCATCGTATATGAAATTCCACATTAGGGGTCCCTACACTAAACCCTAGGTACTCCTCCAATATCTTGAAAGCTCCATGGGCTAACCTCAGTAGTACCCCTTTTTTCTCTTTTTATAACTGTATGTCTGGTGGCCAGGGTGCCACCATAGATTAAATTTAAAAAAAAAAGATGTGTTCATACAACATAGTCAATCGCCTTTCCAGATTCGAAGAAAAAAGAGGCGATTGGCAAATTATAGCATCGAACAGGCAGTGGACTTACAGACTTGTTCCTTGATTCCATCCTGGAAGCATGGGAAGGCTGCCTATAACCTTATCCAGCTTCTTACGGGAGATGGGTGCATTTGAGCCTAGCAGTATAGGTTTAAGCTGGACAATACAGCAGAGTGCCCAGTGTGCAAACTGATAGAAGAGACCACATAACTCCTGTTTTTGTGACTGAATAACCAACTTCTTGAATTCTACAGTCTACAAAATCTCTACCATTAAGTGAACTTATAGTTATTTATTTGTATTCAAGTCCTCAATATTTTTAGGAAATCATTTCTGTAACTTTCCAGCAACTAAAATTTTCATATTATCATTTAAAAATAAAACTGTTGATCATTAACTAATACTTTGGTATTAATATTTGGAGCTATATTTATATTTCCCATTTTTTAGATGCTACTATCACTGTAAATATAAAATTGATTTTTTGTTTGTTCTACACATTCAAAGTAAAAATTATTTTAAAACTTTGCATAAGTATTTTGGGTAGTATTTACAGTTTACAGTTTTTTATCTGTTACAATCATTGTAAATATTAAACTGAACTTTTGTTTTAGTTGTTCTAATTAATATTTTTTCAGGTATTAGTTTATTAGCTTAACTACATTTTTCATCACTGAATAAAACATTATTGTGGTATCAAGATTTCTACCCGCTTTATCATAAGCTTTTCATTGTCCAAATAATGTTCGTTAAAACAGTTAGGATTCAGTATGACATATTTTATATAAAAATCTAATTAATAAATAGGTTTCATTAGAGGAAATAAATAATTCATGGGCTCATATCTCTATAATGCATGAATGCATGTATCATAGGGATTGCTTTCCCATAATGTAAAATTACAGAATTATTCCAATACAAAACATAAAACAGAGAATAATGCTGTTTCAACTTATTCCTTTACACTCTGAAGCTCTTCGGTCAGAAATGTTAATTATTAAACTAATGGGATTGACATAATCTCAAAGACCATTCAGTCTTTGCTAGAACATTGAGGACTACCATAAGTTTTATTACAGGGGAAATGAAGAAATAAATTTAAATGACACAAAATTTACAATTTATTTGCAAAGAAATACAATAAACCTAACAAAATAATATATACTTGCTTTCTCAAGTAAGAAAGATATATATATATATATATTGCCCATAACTGAGGAGTAGCAACAACATTTAAAGTAACCTCCACTAAATGTGTACCTATACATATACATATATTATAAACATTGATAATTTAAACACATAAATTACATCCTACGAAATATCCAGATATTTACATTTTTTTTTATATAATTGGACTTTTTTAATTATAATTCAATTTAGACAGACAGGAATCCAAACCATGCATTTCCTTTTGTCGATTTTACGACAAATTGTCTAACAAAACAAAAATCAAAGAAAATAATATATTTATCAAATATTTTCTTAATATTATGTATAATTTCTAATAAACACTAAACCGTAAGATTTAAATGTGTAACAAAAATACAAAATTAAATTGAGATCTTAAGCATATATTTATAATGTACAAACTAGTCTATTCAATTTATTCCTACAACATACATATTATTAGAAAATATACATAAATAATCTCACTCAATAAATAAATAAGATATTACCATATATTCATTATTAATAACAAAAATACAAACTATTTGTACAATATAAAACTTATGTAATAAATACAATAAAAGAAAATATGCAAAATGTGTTGTGTTAATATTATTTTCCTAAATTAACACTGCTTCTATGAAAAGTATCATTCTGATTCAATCTAATTTCTTTTCATAAAAAATTACAAAATGTCAAGTAACAAAGGTAGAAAAATATCACCTTTTATTAGTCTTAAACGTTAAGATTTCATCATGCCTAAACACCATTAAAAACAGTGAATTACAGTTAAATGTTAAAACAATAAAAAAGGAAAAAATTTGGAATAATTATTTGGACTTGATCTTAAATCAGTCTCAGTAGTTTTATTTTTTGTTTCAGATTGTTAAACAAATATCACAATACTCAAGCTACTTAGACCCAAGCCTTATTCTGGTCACACTAATTTTAAAAGAGTGGAATTTATTAAGTTCACAAACTGTATGGATTTCTCTTGTAGTATTTATTGATATAAGAATCGATTCCATGGGGTTAATGAAATTATTTAATCATCGGCTTCAACAGAAAATTATTTTATTCATTCTATAACTATAACACCCTATCATACCATGATTAAGTTAATTAAACAAGAAAATTAATAAACAAGTTGAATGAGTATAGCAATATATAATTTAGTCATATGTTAATCAGAATTCTGATATTTTATAAAATTTAGTATATTCTAAACCAGCATTTTAATTTTTGGAAGTTAGTCGAGAAGAAAAAAAACTTAATTAATTTCCATCTTTGGATTTTAAAGGATTCATCCTTGTATCAGATGATCATAAAAATAAGATGAAAATTTAAGTAGTGACAATGCCATTAGCAATGTTTAAACTATAAGGCTTTGGATAAACTTACATGATAGCCTATATTTACGTAAGATTAATATAGTCATTAATTGGTCTTAAAATACGTATAATTATAAAATGCAAGTTACTGTTCCCAGTTAAAAAGTTACAATAAGAGTGACTACAATGAAAATACACGATACCATTCACTGAATTAAGTTATATTAAGTGTGACGTTATTATTGACAAACAATGTGTAAAATTTATCAAAAGAGGAAGCACCAAATATTCTGTTTTAATAAAAATAGGCCATGGTATATTTTTATAAATAAATATGAATCCAAGTGCAAGCTGAATAACAGCTAATTCATAGCTATTACATCAAAGACAACTCACCAGTCTAAATGCATATTATACAACATTATTTACCACCACATAAATTACAACCAAACATATATCACTCGATAAAACTCATTCATTGAAGTAATTCATTGCATTAAAACAAAGGAGACATCAAAAGCAAACTATACATTTAAATGCTTGTCATTTTAAAATATTTAAAAACTAAATATGTTTAATTTTCTTAGTCGACCCAAGCATAATCTAAGAGCCCCGCATTCTTCCATAGCTGACAGCGTGGAAGTCCGTCTCTCATCTGCTCTTCGTCTTGGGTAATAGCAGTAGTTTTGTAGCGAGGTAGAACTCCAAGGCTTACAAATTGGTTAAACATGTGCTGCAATACGGTGCTGGACCGGCGAATCGTTACCCTAGGAGAAGGAGCCCACCCAAACACAGAAGACATATCTGACCCTCCATAAACAAGATCATCACCAGCAGCAGTCTAGAAAACAATCAATTAAACATATGTAGTTAACTGTAATAAATAATTCATGAAATGTTAAGCCAAATAAAAGTTAAAAACAGAAAATGCTGAAAATTGCAATGAGTTCCAAATTTTTAACATTTAAATCTGAATAAATTAATTTTTTTTAAATGCATACATACTTCACCCACAAGGATTTTTTGGAAGAGATTTTCTTTTAATCAGAGAAGAATAACTAAAACTTGAAACCAAAAAGGGGAGGAATTTGGTATTTCTATTTATAAACTATTCTAAATAATGAACACTAATAGAAACAATACTTGTTTCATAATTAGACCTAGAAATGAGTGCTCTTTGCACCAATTTTACCAATAATATTTAAAAAAGAGATATTCTTTGATTCTGATATTTGTTTATTTTTAATTTTTTTTTTTTATGAAATTTAATATTATTTTATTAGAAAATATTATTATTGACAAATTAAAAATTTATTCCATTCTTTATATAGACACATGAAACTTTTTCAATTACTCTCCCAGATTAACTTATTTGCACTCTACTTAATTTTTTATTTATTAACAAAACAAACAAACAGTTATAACTTTTAAATTTGCATGTTTTTATAATATTCTTTAAAAAATGTTAAATTAATTAATAATTAAACATAAAAAGACCTTTTTAATAGCTATATAACAAAAATCATTGAAACATATACACATAGAAAATAAAGAGAACATGTTAACTATTACTTTTAATACTCAACATTACCCTCCCATTTTATATTTCATTGAAGTTGAGTTTCTCTGAAAGTATAAAATATGAAATATTAATTCAAACGAACTTATAAGTGATCTTATAAATTGAATGAAATGACTTTATGACATACCCATAAAATATAATGAAGCAACAGAAATGGCTAAACACAACATCGAATCAACCCACAGGTGGTAAGGCTATGTAGAATTTATTTTTTAACTTGTTACAATTTATTATTAATAAATTAATTAATAATAAATTTTTTTTTTTAATAAATGGTAAAAAATATATTCCTAGTTTTAAAAATACAGTTTAATAAATTTAACTATACACACTGATTTGTTTTTTTTGGGTCCTCCTCTTCCTCGTCGTTAAGGCAACACGGGGTTTTAACGGGCCAGGGGGTGTGGGCGGGGATTTAAAAGACGCCTTGGCACCGGGACGCGAACTCGTAACTAATTTTATAACGTTTGTCATATATCTGGTTGCCGGGCAACGTTGGTGCTGTGCACACGCGTTAGCCCATTCGGCCACCCCTCCCACTATACACACTGATCTTCACAAGCTGACTGTTAAGGAAAATATGCAAAACACTTAAAAGCGATTCCATGACTAACTATTTTTTTTTTTTTTTTGTCCTCCCCTTCCTCGCCTTTAAGGCTATACGGGGTTTTCCCGGACCAGGGAGTGTGGGCGGGGATTGAAAAGACGCTGGGAGGATGTGTAACTGGGAACTGCTCCCTCCTCATGCCTCTCATGCCATTGCATTTTATCATAATCATCTTATCCACTGTATATTAATATTATTATTAACAGATAGAAATAAAGGTTATAAGTTCAAGAAACAAAACAAATAACAGTGCTAATTAAATAAGTAGTTACTGTAATAACCCACTAAAAAACAAGTAGTCTAAAGCGGCAAAATAAAAAGAAGTAATAAGTCTTGATAAATGAATAAAAAAAATTTAAATGATTCTCTATTGTGTGCTTCTAGTGGCAGTTTATTCTAGAAATAAATAAGACATTCAATTAAAAAAAAAAGAAAGAAAGAAATTTGAATGAGGGTATCTATTCTTTATTTCATAAATAACTAATTTTTATTGGAAGAAAACCACAAAACATAACCTAAATAGATAGTTTTAAACTTTGAAGACCTGCTTATATTTGCCTAAGAATATTACTTCCAATCTTTCTTTTCATTAAAATATTCAAGATTAAAATTAATATTTTTCCTTACCACCATAGGGTGAGGGAGGTACTGGGTTTGGATAAACTATACTTACAAGGTGTCCCATCCAATGTTCAACTTTCTTATACGAACCCATATTGTGCAATTGTTTAGCCCAATTATTCTCTGGTTTATCTCTCCAATGTACCTTTTAAATTGGTTTGAGTTATATTTAGCACTCTTAAGCATAAGAGGTAATATTGTTATACTTAAGGTATCAAATTGAAATGAGCAATTTTATATACTTTACAAATTAAAATTATTCTAAATTTTTGAAATGCTTGAATTTACAGACATTACAACTCTTTACAACTAATAAGTACAGACAATTCAAAAGCAATAAAATAATCATACCACAACAAAAACCTGACATTCCTACAGGATTGACTATAATCACAAGTAAAGAATTTTATAATATTACAATTATAGCTACTGATAAATTCAAATAAATATAAATTCAACAACTAATGCTAAATATATAAATTCAACAAATAATACTATTGGAATTTAAATAGTTTTATTTTAACTTAAAATACTACAACTTTATTAAGATGAAACAAAATTTTCAGGAATTTCATTCAAAATTTTTTAAACAAGTTATCCGACATTTTGACCCAAAGATGCTCATAGCTCTGGTGATGGCCCACATGTTTGGGTCGAAATGTCAGCTAACCAATTAAAGAAATTTTGACTGAAATTCCTGACAATTTTGTTTCATCCTTATAATTGATCAGTCGACTACTTACCCATCTCTATAGGTTTATTAGTGTTTAATGCTTTAATTGTTTAATTAATAAGAAAAATATGCAAGATAAATATTAGTGCTTGAATTATTTAAAGAATCTTCAAGGCTTAATAATCTTTGTTTAAAAAAAAACTCTAAGAACAACTGCAAGAAATAAATATATGGACAAATAAATCCTATACATGAAGGATTTATACTTTGTAGGTATGTATGGAAATAAACTCGAGAACCATCGACTGACATCATTTGAATGACATTTGGCCAGCATTTTTTTAAGTAATGGTTTGAAGGAAAATTATCTACTTTCAGAATTGCTAAATGGTTGACTGTCATGGATAATGAAGAGAAGAATAGTTGGGGTGGTCAGTCAAAAAAGAAGGCAAAAATAAATTATAACATTTATTTTTACATTATATTTATATTTAAAAATAAATATTATCATTTATTTTTGCCTTCTTTTTTGACTGACCACCCCAACTATTCTTCTCTTCATAATCTACTTTCAGGTTTGTTTGGGGAAATAGAATAAGTTATAAATGAACAGAAATATATTTTAGACCAGTTCTGCCAACAGACATTAAAATCTTCATGGATAAGGTTAGTTATCCATCATTGTATGAAAGCAACATAGATTGTACATACAATTAGATATTTTTTTTATCTAAGTTCAAAGGAAGACAAAAAAAAGCTTTAAAATATCTCATCAAAGTTTAATTTTCACATTGTAAACAGACTGAGGATTCTTGGATGTTTTATAATAAGTAGTATAACTATAAAATATTTAAAGAACATATATTTGAAGCTTATATATGTTTATTTTAAATTATAATAGTTTTTCCATAGCTCACATGTTAAGCAAACAACAGGTGATCCAAACCCTACTCACCAGTACTACTCCAAACCCCTAGGTTAATCAAAACCTTATTAAGAAATAGGAGATAAATTTGTTAGTTATTCCCCTTATAATTATTAAAGTGATCATATTTAATGAGTAGTTTCATCTTAGGTCACTGTGAAGGTGAAAAAATCCTTGATGTATCTCAGTAAAGCAATACAGCAAACAAATTAAAATATGACCTACAGTCTGTTTTGGAACTTTCTGTTATTCTTGGATAAAAATCATTAATTTTTTTCTAAAACTTAATCGCTTTTATTCTTATATTCAGTGGCTCTCATGAAAAACCAGTACCATAGATTAGGTACTTAAACTTATATAGTCTGCGGACGCCTTCTTTAATAGCATTTTTTTGGTGGCCCCTCCCCATTCCTAGACTATGTTAATGTTATATTATTAGCTAATTAGGTCATTACAAGTAGAAAAAGTTTTGACCATAAAGGATTCTTATTAAATGAATTATTTTAATAAAAAATATAAAAGTTGGGGATTATAAAGTTAATGTCTAAATTTTTTCCTAAATCCCAAGTTCACAGTTTAACAACCTAGGTCCTGAATAATATGTTTTATAGAAATAAGATATATGTTATCAAAGTATGAAGTCATAAACTTTAAATAAAACTAATGTGATTTGACTAATTTTTATTTTAATTAAAGAAAAAAAATTTTTTTTTTAAATATGACCGTAATGAATTATTTAAATAACATACCTGTTCTCTTAAAATAGTAATTAGGTTTATATTAAGTATAAATTATTTCTTTAAAGATTAAAAAGCAAATTCTCTTTACTAACTCTACTAATTAGTATAAGAATTAACAAAATAAAAATAAAAGGTTTGTTTACCTGCTTTAAGAGGTAGAACTTAGCACCTGGTATTTTCTGATGCAAGAAGTATAATGGGCATACGGTAGCTATGTCTGACACTATTTCAGCCAGACCAGTTACAGTGCTATTGTAGAGAGCTAAAACCTTATCGGTGTAGTTCATCTTTCCGATAAGAGAATTCTCGATTTCCTTTCTCACATCATCTTCAGTATAGCCAGCACGTGCTTCTTTCCATTCTCTGCTAACTTCGGAATGAACTGTGGTACCTGAAAATAAAAAACATTACATCAAAGACATAATTCAGTTTTACGATTTAACACAGCGATATTCCATCATGAAGTAAAAAAAAAAAATCCTCAATAAAAAAACAAGGCTTACTTAGTCATTATCCAGCAATACTGCAAGTTTCGTTAAAGGATTTAAGTGTTTAGTGACACCTAATCTCTTATAACATTAATTTTAATTTTTTTTAACTAAATTTTAATTCTAAATTAGTTTCTCAGTAATCCTCATAAATTTGACTTGTATGGATATATGAAATATGAAACTGAGGGGGAGGCAAGTTTGGAATTCTTGATCTCTCTATTAGAACTAACTAAGCTGAAATGCCACATACTAACAAAAGCATATATGTTAATAAGATCATCCCAATCAAAGCTACCTAATTATTCAATGATACCAATTGGAAGCGTTCTATACCATCATTTTTACTTGTTTGTACTTGTTGTACTTGTAAGTTGAGGGAAAAATTTAAAAGGTTAACAGTAGAAATCAAGATCTACAAAAAAGTTCATCCAAGTAATTGCTCAATATCCAGCAGAAAAGTAGGAAATTTAAGATTTGATTTTTTAAGCGAGTCACGTTTTTTGTTGCAGTTGAAGTGGTAACATAAAAAAAATATTTTAAACAATCAGTAGGTTTCTTTATTTTAAACATAAATTTTAGTAAAAAATATCAATTCCTATAACACTCGCAAGTTGCCTGAATTGCTGACAGGTGGGAGTGTAAAAATAAAAAATGATTACTCATAGATAAAAATCAATAATGTTTTAAATTTACTTTTTGTGGTGTAAGATGTAATATTTAATAAACTGGACACCCAATCTGGGACTGAATTAAATGAGTATCTTTGTATTTTAATACATTATTATAAGAAATATTACCAATAACAATAGGAATAGGTTGGAAATCTTTGTCTTCCATTTGCCTCTCCCAAACACTGTAAAGATATTCCCTTATGATATTTCCATCCTGGACCAACCAGGAATGTCTCTTTTGTTCCTTGTCAGGAAGGCCCCCTCGTGGAATTGGTCTCCAACTATCTGGTACTGCATCCAAGAGATCTTCCACATCCTGAAAGTAACATAAAATAAATGTTAACATAACAATGTGAAAAAGTATAAATAAAACAAATTTCCATTTGAATAATAATTTTAAAGTACAAGCGTTGGAGATATGAAATCAAGATTTTTTAGTACACTTTTTCAGGAACACTCTAAATAGTTGCATGGATAAAACACGTACCTAAAGCTCATTTTCTAAAACTAATTTTTTTAATTTTCATAGTTTAGCAATTATTTCTTCACAATTTTGTACCAAAATGATTTAACAATAATCTCATAATTTTGAATTAAAATTACCAAGGTCCTGAGACAGTTCGCAGATGGTGCAGTCGGGCATGGAAGAGCTCTGATATATTCATCGGATTCCTTTTCAGATTCCTGCAGTGTTTGATTAGGGAAAATTGCTGATCCACTCGAAATCCATAGCCGAGTAAAGTAATTCTGAGAAGAAAAAAAAATCATGAATCATTATTGTACTGTATCAAGTAACAAAAAAAGAATAAAAAAAAATAACCTGTACCACTACAACCCATGAAGGGTCTTGGGTTCAGTACTAAGTGAGGAAGTACATGTTACAAGGCCAACGGTTGTGCAGAGAGGTGATTGAGCCGATATCACGCTCAACCATCAGGTTTTTCCCCATAAATAATTATTTAATTAAGAGTACCTCTTTATAGAGGCTGGGTGTACCCAAGGATCTCCCGAACCCAGGGTCGATCCACAGGTGATGAAAAGTTACTAGTCATCAGCCGGACTCGAACCTGGGTCCTTGAACTCTGGAAGTCAGTGCTCACCCACTGAGCTACTTCGCTCTCAACCAAGTTACAAAACTAATTATATTTAAAAAACTTTTTTAAGTTTATTGAAACACTAAATCCCTTTAAAAAAATTAAATTAAATTTGGCAAAACGAACTGCATAAAATATCAAAGCATAAGTAACACTTTAATCAATGCTATAACTCGGGACTTAATTTTAGTCAAAAACATTTATTAAAGAAATACTAAAAATTAAGATAATTTTAATATAAGTTCAAATATTCTATACAATTCTAAACTAATAATAGTATTTCTGCAACTAAAAAATACATTTAAAAAGTCACAATTACAAAAAAATTAATAACAAGTATAAATATTACCTTTGGTTTATGAATTGTGGTAAGAACTGTAGCAAGAGTTGCTCCTTGCCTCCAGGCTAGAAGTGTGATTTCGTTCACATCGCCACCAAAATGTTCTGCATTTAATTTAACCCATTTAAGAGCGGCTATAAGATCAGCAAGTCCGTAATTTCCTGATGACTTGGGATAAGTAGCTTGAGTTAGTTGGTGTGCTGAAGTGAAGCCAAGTGGGCCCAGACGAATTTTTGGTACAATCAAAACGACATCCCTAGATCTCACTATAGTTGGTTGAATTGCCAATTCTTCCAATCCTACAGCGACTACAACCTGAAGAATAAGTTCAGGAATATAATTAATAAGAATATTAAATATGATTAAGACAATGCTGATATTATTATATAAATTACTAGATAATTAAAAATTATACAGAAAGTATACATGAAAATAAAAGTTATTTTTTATTCATGGTTTCTTTGGCATTATGTTTAATTTTTCATGAAGTTGGTATAATTCATCTACTTACTCATTAAAAACTAATTGAAAAAGTACACTAAATGTCATTTATAACAACTTCCAACAATAGATATGATTTACAACAACCTTCAACCAATCATAACTATATAGATCATGTAAGTGTGAAATAAAAACTTTATAAAATCAATTATTGCCTACATACTCAAATAAATGGCTTTATTTTATGGATAATAAGTTCGAAGATTGGCATGGACTGCTGCAGATTCTTTGAATTTGAAGCAGTTTCAGTAATATCTTAGATTTCTATATGTCTAGAATGACTAGCTAAGCTGATGCTTGTATCACCATTTTCAGTACGACATCAAATTAAAAATGAAATTTTTCCTCCACAGTGAAAGATTTTCTTTTAGAAATGAGGTCATTTAAAATGAATACTAAACCTAAACAGTAAACACTTACTAAATGTTAATGAATCCTCTCCCCCTTTAAAATATGAGTTTAAAGTATAAATATTTTTAAGAACAATCAAGGATCTTATTATTCCTTTGCAAGACCTTCTTATGAGTTTCATGAATTCTGTTGTTAAAATAAATCTTTAATTGCTCACTTGGTCATCAAAATCAATCGTTATAACAGATCAGTCTTTATAACTCTGGTTGCTATATCTGATAAAAAAAATATCCTGTTGCTAAGGCTTAGAGGGTCATGGGTCCGGAAATATGTTATTAAATTTGGAGACAATTTAAAAGATATTCAGGGTATTTAAAATTTGTTTTAAAAAAATAATTTTCTTAGGTAAAACTTATTTTAAAAGCTTTTTTAAAAAAAAATACAACAAATAATTGATAACTTACAGGTAATGGTGAATCATATCGAACATGAGGAGTAAAAATGTCAATAGTAAGGCAGTCTTCAATGCCATCTATTGAACCATTAGAAAACATCTGCCAACAGGAAGGTGTGGCATTATGAGCTTTAAATGTAGAATTCCAGCATTCATTTAAAGTAAAAGGGTGAGGAGGTGCAAAGCGCAAAGGCCCCACTGGCGGCTTGGCATAGGGTATACCACGGAAAACAAAAATTCCATTTTCCGATAATCTGAAAATAAAATAAAAAATCATTATTTTTCTATAGGTTTGAAGTACTAAATATAAAAATAAAGAATGGATCCAAGAGATATACAAATGATCTAGTGAAGAACTTAATAAACATACTGCATAAGAGTTGTATATCATCTTAGTATTTTTCAGGTTGATTATATTCTTGATTTATAATATTCACAATTTATTTTTAAACTAATTTATTAATTAAATACTATGAACTATTTCATTACTTCAATGAATTTATCCTCTATGCAATCAGAATGAACATTGTGCACTTAGTTGAAGCAATAATTGTATTTTATATATAATCAGGTTTGTGTAATTTTTATGCATTTAATGTAATGTGTTGTTGCATTGAAAACAAATTTATTAAATTAATTAATTAATTAAAAATTTTCTCCCTCAAAAAGTAATTTTAGATTTTTTTTTTCAGTAAACCAATGATCCGTTTTCGAAATATTAGTAAAATTTTAACTGATACATAAGAAATATTTCTGTTTCTAACATATCTCTTTTTTTAACAGTACTGAAAAAAAAGTATAATTTATTTTTCTGGTTTTACTTTATTTTAATTTATGAATACTGTGTAAGTTAATATACAACAAAATTATATGCTATTTTTATAGGAACTCTATACCTAGATGAATAAATAAATAATAAAATTATTAAATTCAGAAATAAAAAATAATTTAGCAAAAACTTACCCTTCTACGAGTCCACATGAAGTAACAGCATTGACATATTTACCATCAATAACAGGTGCATGGGGTGCTGGTCTTGGTCCAAAAGCAACATAAAATAATAATATGATAAGCAGTACAACAAATATCGTAATTCCACCTGAAATTAAAAGAACAAATTATATTTACATTATGTAATACGTTTTTTCGATAAAATTCAAGTAAATAAATAAATAGAATAAATTCGGTACTTATTGCCTTAAAAAAAGAAAAAAAAAAAAGATGATATACTAAACAAATACAAACCAACAGCAAATCTATATTCCTTAATGAACTTCCAGAATCGTTTCCAATCTTTTTTAGACCATTTCGGCTTTGCTTCATCTTCTAAAGCTTGCTTTTCCAGATCCAGCTAAAATAATGAAACACAAATTTAAGAGATTATAATGAATTGTATCACTTATAATAATATACCATTGCTTTAACTATTTTTACATCGTGTTCCAGTCTAATAAGTTCCAATTGTTTTTCATCAACCTTGGAGCCATTTGAGTCATCTAAAGTTTCCATTGATGCCAAGCCAGCTTGTGTACCTCCTCCATCTTCATTTTCCTGCTAAATTAAACAATAAGCAAGTAAGAAATAGAAAATATTTGTCCAATGAAATATAACTAATAAAATCCTGAGAACTAAAGGTTATAATTTTCAAGTAAAACAGTGAAATTTTGGAAATTTAAAAAATCATAATCAATATTTGATAATGTGTTTAATATGATAAAATACCAAAAGTTAAAATTTCATTAAGATATTATACATTACCTTAGTAGGTTTCAATTTTTTAGGAACGATTGATGCTAACGGTAATTTTATAGCATTAATGAGTTTTGGTTTTCTTGGTCCCTCTTCTTGATCCTCTACAATAGGCGGTTTTTCCTCATCATTATTTGTTGTGTCTTCTACTGTCTAATGAATGTTAGTAAAAAAAAAAAAATCAAAATCAAGCTCAAAAATTTCTATTAGAGAATAATCGTGCAATGATTAAACATTATAAATGTTAAATACGAAATTATAAATATAATACTAATGTATCACTTCCAATTGATATATTACATGAAATGCCAGTTCGAATAAACAATTATACAACAAGAATGAATACAGTCTCACTTGATTAATTAGCCAAAACATGTTTAATAGTATTTTTTTAGACTTCCTCTTACATGTAACAATTCTTTGTATAAGTTATAAGTTCAAACGCATTATTGATAGCATCGCCATAACAAACTCAAAAATTGGTCAGCACTAATCACCAGGTGATGAATATGCTGAATGGAGTTATTAAGGAATAACTTAATTTGAAATATGGGTGTTTCTATAGAAACATCTTGCTGTGTGAAAATGAGAAAAATTGTAAAGGAATATTAGCCAGCTGTAAGACATAATTATCTTGTTCGAATTCCTCAGCTTTTAGGAGGAAGAAACTTGGGAACAAACTTGTCACAACACATATACATGTTTTATCATCATCATAACCATTCCTAGTCTACAGCTCATGCAGTGTGATGTGTCTTCATGTACACCCTGGACTACACACTATCCTCAACCAGTTCTCTTCCCCTGTTCTATTTTAGATCTCTCTTTACAAGATTCCCGTATACCACAGTTTGTTAATTAATATATGGTTGATACATTTAATCTTGTTGCATTACATTATTCTATGTACAATCCAAATAATAGCATCTGATAATGTTTTATTACAACCATATATTTTTTCCAATTTTGAAGTTTAATTTATTTTTTCAACAAAATTGAGAAAATTAGTACAAGCTTAGAAGGTAATAAATAATTTAATTAAAAGCACTCAACCTATTCTAAACCTTAGCAATTAGTTGTATTATATGATAAATCAACTAACACAAACTGGCAAAATAAAAGGCTAATTCAAGTGGACATATAAACTTCAGCACTTAACGAAAAAAAATAAAAGATTAAATAACTTTATATCAAGTTACTTCAATGTACTTCTAAATTTATTTATTTATTAATTTTTACAACTGAGATATTTAATGAATAAAATAATATGAGTAAACTATGACCATGTATGATCAAAATGTTAATACTTTTTTACTAAATACCTAATAAAATTAATGAATCTATAATAATTTTAAAATAACAATTTTTTTTTAATTATAAGAGAAGCTGGTTAGGTATTGCATTCAATAGAATTACCAAAAATAAATTATATTTATTTTCCTTGTGTTCACGTTTTGGCAAGTAATTTTTTTATAACTTTTTTTTTACAGAAAAATCTGACTAACGATGTTAATATTTACTTTTATAATTGTTAGGGTGTAGTCTTTGTGTGGTTACTAAACCATCTTAAGTGATAGATTTACAAGAATATATATGACAGACTATCTGCTTTCTAATTTCCTGCATTTTACCCAAAGGATTATTTCTGGTGAAAGTTATTGTTTTAGTATCTGTTTAATATTAATAAATCTGCTCACAAAAACAAAAGCAAATATTCTTGCTCTGAATATTGCTTACGTACCTTTTTCTTCTTAATGAAAGGAACTGTTAAGTTAAGTTTTGATAAAATTGGTTTGTTCTGAGATGGTTGTTGCGTCTGTGATGGGTTTGGTTCAACAGGAGATTTTGTATCAGGGGCTGGCTGAGGCAGCAAATCAGCTCCTTCTTCGCCATCTTCATCGTCTTCCTGCGAATTAAAAATACAACAATTGAAAATTTCGTTTTCTTACAATAATTGATTAAGGTAATTAGAAAATTAAAACATAAAAATCTGTTACAAAATAATTTAATCATTTATCGCCACTTTTGGATTTTTTTTTTATTATTTAGGGTGGAGAATAACTTTGTTACCTCCTCCTCCATAACCAATCTCAGTGACTGTTACTCACTGCTCAAGAGATGAAAAAATCTTAAAGCATCTAAAAGGTGTAAAGACCCAAAAACATACCAAGTTTTAGTTTAAAAAAATAAGGAACAGGTTGATGGGGACATGTTAAGGTGATTGTTTTTTAGAGCATTATGTGATTCAAGTGGGGATGGAAGAGAGCTTTCAGATTGAAACAATCACTCTCTACAAAAAAGGTAAAATCTTTTTTTTCTTTCATTAGTCCATATTAGTAGTGTTAGCATACATTAGTCGTTTCTTTCACTTCGCTTAACAAATGTAAGCAAGTGTCCAGTAAAAATATAAACATTTTGTCAATAAAAGCATTAGTGTTCCTGAAATAACTGTTATTAAGAGAGAGAAAAACTTATCCCCCAAAATTGAATTGAAATCCTAATCCGTTACTGTTGGAGTAAAATATATTGATTTAAAATATGGTTTTAACTATTTTCATTTTAAAAATACAAATCTAAAACAATTTAAATTAAAGAAGAATTTTTAAAAAACGGAGGAAAAGGAAAATATGAGTTGAGATGTATGGTAAGGAAACCATGGCCAACCAACGCTGATTCTTACCAAATTTGTCAAAATCTGAGACAAATTACTATAAGTGACCATGTAACTTGGAAGAGTTCCCTAAAAGAAAACCCCATAGAATCAAAGTTTGCTTCCATTGAGTACTGACATTATTATTTTTATTGCATCACTCAGTTGACCCAAAATTTGATTTTATGGGGTTTTCTCTTAGGGAACTCGTTCCCAAGTTACACAGACATTTATAGTCATTTGTCTCAGTTTTTGACAAAGTTGGTAAAATCAGAGTTGGTTGACCCTGGTTTAATACCTTACCAAGTAACCAAATTATTAAGTTTGTGTACTCACTCGACGCACAATTTAACGTTCTTTAATTTATTAAAAGAAGACATTTTTCGCTTCCATGCATCGTTTAAGAGTTATAAGTGAAAAAACAAAAAAAAATGACTTTTTTTACTGTAAAAGGTTTTCCCTTGGTGGCCCGCGTTAGCAATTTTGTTTTTTATATGCCTAAACCTTTTCTCACATTTTTAGCATACTATTTTCCGTTTCGATCTTCAAGTTACTGGTCTAATATTCTTTAAATCAGCCGTCGTTTTTTAAAGCAGCAGTTCTGGAATGTCAGACAAGATTCATTTTACTTAGAATAACATACTCTTCGTAATTTACATTCAAACTTAGAGATTAGGTTGATTATTGGGAATTGGCTCCAGGGTTATAAGGAGAATGATAAAGAAGAAGAAGAAGACTACGATAATATAAAGAACAGAAGGTGTTAATAAGACAAGACAACTATATTTTTGTCTATCTTTATCATGCAAAGGTCTAACTATATTAATGAATTTCTAACTGATTAGGCAACATAAATTGATTAGTATAACGATTTAATTAACTAGATTAATGTATAATTGAAACAAACAACATGGAACCAATTAGTCAAAACTTGCTGATTATAAAATGAAGCAGTTTTTATGAGGGAGAACTCCTGACCAGGGAGCCCATACTGCTTTGCATATTTATAAGTTCAGACAAGAGCTATTTAGTCGAGTTCCGCACACGCGGCAGTTATAGTGACTGATGGGTAAACAAACCATGCCATTCATACTATCTTCACATTATTTTAATGTACATAGATTAACTTTATAGTCTTCTCGAAACAATGTATCGCTATAAACAAATATTGTTATTTGTATCAAGAATCACATGCATAAGCATAATGTAATTGAGAGTCGAAATTCACAAACATACCCAAACGTGAAAATAATATTTTTTTTATTATTATGTGATATTTCCCACGAAATAAATGTTTGCATTCCCCTCAAAAAAATAAATAAATAAAACGGATTGACTGATTTGAAGATGAAAAAACTATTTCAATTATAATAAGTCGAAACGTCGGCAAGCCTAACAAATCGACAAATGCAGACAACAAATCCTGATTATTTATCATCCTCATAATTTTAAAATAACAGTCAACTTTGCAGATTTTTATTATATAAAATACCTATAGGCCCCAAAAGCTTAGTCTTTATTACTGGTCAAATATACGCTGTCAGAATTTCTGAGCTTTTCATGAATAATTAACTGATTGACTGTAGAAAAAAAATCGTTTAAGACTAAATTTGCTTACAATTAAGTTCATTTATAGTAATTCACCATCAGAACTAAAGCTATAGTTCACATTAATATTGAAATTTTCTTTAAAAATGTCTATTACCGGTACATTTACTTTATGCAAAAATATCCTAAAACTTTTTAAGAAGGAGTTTCTTTTTAATTTGGTGTCATATGCGACCGCTTAGTGCTTAAACCGTTCCTGTCAAAAGTAATTTAGCAAAATATGTAGTTGCAGTTGGAGTAAGAAGACGAATCCTCAGAATAAATATATACCATTCAACTATAGATAGATAAAATCAGACATTAGTTAATTACTTCGGGCACCCATAACAAATAAGCTTAGAATACTCAGGGATTTTAGGACATGGTTGCTAATTAAAGTATTCTTTTTTGCATATGATTCCAGGAAATAAATCAAGTTTGGACCTATTAGACAAGGACACATTAGAACAAATTAGAATTAGAACCAATCTGCTATCATTAAACGTAGCATCCAGCCTTGTTTTTGATAATTCGTTCGAAGTGGTCAATATGATCTCGCTGGCCTGGCATTCGACGGTCCCTAAATCAAAACAGCTGTGACAGACTGGCTTCCACTTTTTACTGTCACGGGAGACCGTTAAGTCGGTCCTTTGCGAAGAAGGCGCCGCTCTGGCTGCGCGCCTTTGGCGGCGAACCTTCTCGTCCTCAAGCATTAATCATTTGGAGCTTTTTTGGATTTAGGATCAGTTTACTCCTTGATAAGCTTTTACGGTATTTGAGCACGTTTAACGTCTACATGTTATCATGCTTTGCATGAACACAATCTTTGCAATATCTGACATAATTATTTCCATCGCATCAATTCAATTTCCTCTAAGTCAATGCAAACTTCACTGAATTCTACTCAGCGAATGGGGAAAAAATTTTGGGTAGAATCGAAAGAGCCGTTTTTAAACTATAGCCATGTCAAAAAAGCTACGTTTACAGATCCCAAATTTGAAAAAAAAATTTTAAGTAGTAGAAATCAATTGATGAAACTGAAAACTACTAGGCCAATTATATTTCAATCCCTAACTTTCATTCACATTGGGTCCAAATCGACCGGGAGGAAGAGTGGGGATTTGAGGTTTGTGCGTTTCAACGAAAAGACGTTTGAGAACATGCAAAAGAAAGTAGGGGAAGGAATTCAATAAAATGGATACAGAATCATTCGGGGGCGGGGTGGCTGAGCGGGTTAACGCGTTGCTTTGACAACCTGATGATAAACCAAAGATTACGAGTTCAAATCCGGTGTCCGTGGGACTTAAAACATTACCTCTAACTAACTTGTAAATTGTCATTCATAGATGGAGCTATTTCTCCTTAATGTATGTCTTTCAGATTTAAGGATAATTAACTAAAGAAAAAATAAGAGATAGTTACGGATAAAAGTTGTAATAGAGGAATCAAATGAATACGAACTTGGCCGCGCTTACCCGAGCTCGCCCGAGCTCGCCCGAAAGATTACAACAGGCTTCCAAAAGTAACATGAGCTTCATATACTCCGAAAATATTATGTAGACATACATATGCCGTGATGATGACCCACAAACTTGGATTGAAACATCGGCAACAATAAAAATTTTAAAATGACTGCGTCCTGATTATCACCTCTGATGTAGAACAGTCAACTAACTTCCTTCAATAAAATACAACTACTTAAAAGATGTACGAAAATATTTCTTAAACGAATAACAAAGATTCTTTTAAAAATATATAATAACCAACTACTCCACAGAAGCCCTAATTATGGGAAACCATATAAATGGAACTAATTCATCAGAAATATCGATCTGACGAGTGCCCTTATCCAATAGGTCTTCGTCCCTCCTGAGCTCATCATTGTTCCCTCCAGCACAATCTGGAAGACACGTCATTTATAAATACCAAATGCTGCTCAAGCCCCATCCACAAGCACTCCAGCTTCCGCTTCTGCACAAATTGGTTTCTCCCCTCACTCTTTTATGTTTGCATCAGCGTGTACGAAAGACTAAGAGGTTATTGTTTGCTTAATATTTGATGATACTGCCGAAATTTCCCAGTAGACGTATATTTTAACAAATTCCATCCATCCATAACGATTCGATATTTTTCATATTTTTTAATTTAATTTAAACTAGATTTAATACACATATGTTTACCTTCGCTGACGATACAAAATATAATAAATGTATAAATATAAAATAAATGTATCCAAATCGAATCATATAAATTTCTCTCTTGAGCTCCATATATCCACGTATAACAAGAGACAGAAATTCAGCACCTTCAAAAAACTAAGTATCTCGGACTACACTCAGACAAAAGACTGACTTGGAACAAAAACGATTTTTTTTAAAAAAAACAAGAGCTGACAAAACGATACAAACAACTGTTACTTTTTTAGACTAAAGATCCTAACATAACTTACGAAACAAGCGACTAATCTATATCAATTAAGATGCACAGTAAAGAACTTCGGATCCATTCAAAACATGTACAAAAACAAAATATAAACAACTGAATCCAAAATACTTCGGAAAATTGTTAACGCACCCTGATATATTTAAAATCACACCATACACAGCGACATGAACATTGCAGCAGTAAAATAACATATCCACATGAAATACTTTTTATAATTGGTAATT